GAGGGGCACTGGCAGAGCTGGGGGGAGCCCAAGGGGGCTGCGGGTCAGGAGTGAGGGGCACTGGCAGAGCTGGGGGGAGCCCAGGGGAGGCTGCGGGTCGGGGATGAGGGGCACCGGCAGAGCCAGGAGGAGCGGGAGCTCCCAGTGACTGACCATGTTGTGCTGGGTTTGTTGCTGTCAGTTCAGCTCCTCGGGGGCCGGCGTCATCTCACCGCCAGCAGCAGGACCATGGCAGAGCGGTCAGGGACTGAATGCTCCGTAGAGACTGGAGGGGGGGGGGGGTCTCCCCAGAGCAGAGGAGAAGCATGGGGCAGGGGCGGGGGCGGGGAAGAGGGACGCTTGCCTAGATGCTCCTGGATCTATTCTGTGGGCAGACAGAGGGGTCATTTTCCAGGCCTGTGAATGGGAAAATGCCGGTGAAACTCCTACAATTGGCAGCCTCTGCGTGGCGGAGGGAGGGGAAGGGGAATGAACGCGGACAAACTTCTCCCCCTTGGTGTCAATCCCAGAGCCGATAATCCAGATTCTGTGCAATATTTTAGCTTAACACGCGGCTCGGTATGTGTCAGGGCTGCCCCCTGCTGGCTGGAGTCAGAGCTGTTGACTTGTGTGTCATACACCTATACTGCTAGCCGCCCCTGGGGAGTCTCCTTCAGCTCTGGCGGCAGGGAGCTGAGCTGGCCAAGGCGGGGAGCTGAGTCTGTGCCTGTTTCTGCTGCGAAGTCCTGCGTGTCGCGGGCCGGCTGCAGCCTCCGTGTCCTTCGGCGTTAGCCTTGGTGCTGCAAAGAGCTCTGGGCGGTTTGTCTGGGAGCACAGGCCTGGGCCCAGGGGCAAGGAAACCCAGCCTGAACATGCCCCGTGTGCTGAGATCAACCGTGGCTCTCCTGAGGGGCTGCTGCTAGCCACCGGCCTGGAGAGCTGGGGGGCAGCTGGGCGTGTTCTGGGGGCTCTCAGCCGGGCTGACCGACCGCGTGGCTGGGGGGAGACCCCGGCTGTTCGCCCGGCAGGTTTAGTCCAGGCTGAAATGCTGCTGGAGCCTGTTACAATCGCAGCGTCTTGGGAGCCTCCACAAGGGGGCTGGGAAGTGGCCTGTTCCCTGCCCCCAGGATTCTCCAGTTTCTGGGGTGCTGGTCGGTCAGTGTCTCGCCCGCCCGTGGGAGTTTTCTACCCCTTCCCGGGGGGGGGGGGCAGCTCCGCACTCTCGAGATCTCGCTCTCAGAGGCCTTCTTCACCTCGGTCCATTTCACCCCCTTCCTGCTCCCTGTCCTTGAACGGGCCCCCCTGACACCCCCCGAATGTTTCTGCCTCTGTCCATCCACCCACCAAGTCAAGCACCTTTCCCACGGCCCCTTCCCTGGGCTCCGCCCACGCCGGATCATGCTGCTTCACAGGGGGGCAGGCCTGTAACCCGCCGGCCAATGAGCATCCTGGAAACAATCAGTGCTCATTCTGATTGGTCAGTTTTCTGCCCATCAGCGTTCCTCCCACACCACTGGCTGTGGGTGGCTGTCTGCAATGAATTAACTAACAAACTGTGGGGGAGGCGTTTTGGGGGCTCCGCCCACAGTGCCAGATTGGCTTCAAACCATCAGAGGTTGCGCTGACCTTTGTCATCAGTAGGGTTCAGAGTCATGAACATTGTGGGATGAACGGGAGCGTTCGCGCTCCTCCCAGGGCCACCATCCGTCTGCAGCCTCGG